TGAGATGAGGGATCATTTTATGTCGTGAGAGGAGTGGTTTCTTGCGATCGTGGGAGCGACGTGGGTCGATGGTTGTGTCCGAGCCATGGGGTTTGTCGGCTGAGTGTGGGTATCCGACAGTTAGAGGTCAACACATACGACATTCCTTAATAAAAGGGTACAACGGGAAACTAATAAAGCAATTATAATAAGAAAATACATAAAACAAATCAGAAATACAACGACTCAATCGTGGCTGTAGATCGACGACCACGTCACTGATAGACCTTCCACGATCTGATGTCCCCATCATTCTCCCAGGCTAGGAGAAAGCTCGACTTCGTCGAGTAAGTGTCTCTGGTGCTCTCGTAGATCTCTAATGCATCGGGATAAATCTGCCACAACTCTTCGCGATCCAATCAAGTATCCTCTAACTCGGGTTTTCCTTTTCACCTGATCAAGTACCTCCTTCATCCACCTTCCCTTGTGGATATGATATCATCACTCAGGATCGAGTCCACCTTTTCTGCCATGGGTGATTTGGGAATATTTGGTAGTGGAGGTAGGTTTGGGTTCTCACACGGTGGGTTCATACAAGGTTGCTGTATGAGTGAATTTGGTGGGTTGAAATCAGGACTTCATATGCAATTAGATATTCTATGTTAAAAGAGGGATTGATGTTGAATTTTGCTGGCAGATCTACTACATAAGCATCATCATTAATTTTCTTAAGTATTTTGAATGGTCCAGCACTCTTAGCATGCAGCTTCTTAACTATTCCCTGCGGGAACCATTCTAGATGAATCCGCATCATCACGGATTCACCAACCTCAAAAGTTTTAAATCTTCGTTTTAAATACGCATATAGTTTGTAATCATTATTGCTCTTTTCAATTTGTCGTGCAATTTCCTTATGAAGTTCATGCAAATGAGATGCAAATGATGATGCAGACTCAGAAATCCTATTCCTAGAACACATGGGTATTAGGTCTAGCGGCTGTCTAGATTTGAACCTATATACAATTTCAGAAGGACTTAGGTCAGTGGTTCAGTTAATAGAATTATTATAAGCAAACTTAGTAGTAAGCAAAATGGAATCCCAGTCCTTAATGTGCTCACCAACTAAAGATCACAACAGATTACCCAAACTCCTATTAAGATACTGCTACTTTGGTCAGAGTGTGAGCAAGAAAAAGAGAAGATAAGAAGGAAATACAACGTTTTGCTGAAGGATCCTGAGAGGTGGTATTTTAATTTAAAAAAATGAAGATTTTGGAAAAATTTTGAAAGATTGTTTTGCATAAAGTTGTTGATCCTATTACAAATGAAGGAGAACCATCTGGTTCTATGGATATATACACTATGCCTCTTACTGTACCCGTTCAGACATGTGATGATCTTGTTGAAGATGTCGTGGATATCCGTACTACTCAAACAAGACAAGGAGAATACAGACGATTTTTGGTTAGATGGAGTGGAAGTCCTTTATCTGAATGTTCTTGGATTGAAGCTGTGGAGTTGCAACGTCGTTGTTTAGATATCTTCTAGCATATTTCTGAGGTGTTTTCATTCGTAGATGAGATTCTTCAACTAGAAGAGAATTGATGCAGTCAAGACTAGCTAATTTATGTTTTCTTTAATTTTTACTTGGGTTTTTAGCTCTCTTTCTTCTGTGGATGTTTGTCTCCTATTGTTAGCCCCTCGGTTTCCTGTTAGCCCCTCAGTTTCCTGTTGGCCCTTCAGTTTTCCCTGGTAACTCACTGTTTTTTTGCTAGATTTCAGGTTTCCCTTCTGCTGGCCCTTTGGTTTCCCTGCTAGTTTTCGGATTCCCTGCTGGCTTGGTTTCCCTATTGGCTCAGATTCCTTATTGTCTCGGTTCTTTGCTGCTGGCTACTCGCCTTTTGCTCCTTGTTGATTCCTACAAATGATGTTTTGACTTCTCGTTATGTTGGTTGTTTAGTTCAGTTCTATTGGTTAATTGGGTGGCTTATTTAGGAAAATACCTGTCCTCCATTTCTCTCCAATATAAAGTGGCTAATTTCCTTTGAGAAAGAGAGATATTTGTGATGCATTTTTGGAATGTAAAATCTGCGGGTTTTTAGATTGCGAGCTATCCTCTTCTACCTTCCCTCTACTAATTCGTCTTCGACTTCTATCTACTTCTTCTCTCCATGGTTTTCCATTCCATTTATATATTTCTTCTCTAAACTATTATGAGAACCTAAGGGTTTCTTATAAGTTTGCGAGTTGTCTTCTACCTTCCATGTACTAATTTGTCTTGGACTTCTATCTACTTCTTCTCTCCACGGTTTTCATTCCAACTGTCTCCTTCTTCTCAAAAATTTTATTGAAATTTGTAAGTGTTGTGGTGTCCTATTTTATTCAAAGTTGTAAGTGTTATTGTGTTCTGTCTTATTAAAAGTTGTAAGTATTGTTGTGTCATATTTTATTGTTGTATTTGTTTAAGTTATATTGGATGGATGTGATTATTTGCATACCTAGTGTTCTCCTACTTGGCTTAGGAATCCTTCAGTTGCATCAATTTGCCTTTAGATTGCTCTTGAATATTTTAACTTTTGTGATAAACACCAATGGATTTTTAAATAGTACTACATGCGAAATATTCCTAGGCAATAATCATTTCATTATTTTTCTCTAACTTATCATCCATTTTTTTGTTAGTGGCATCCTCTATATCATCTATATCATTCAAAGAAATATGATCAATCACATCACGATAATTGTATATGTGAATCAATACTCTATTATATTTTACATAAAGTAAATATTTGAGGTGGCCATGATCTATTATGCTTTCTTTTGCCATGAAGTTGTAATTGAAAAATTATTCCTATTACTAAATTATAAAACGTCCTAAAAATAATCAATACAAAATTTGATTTTTATACTTGTTCAAATATACTTCAATTGCATTCTCATTTAGATGAACTATTGGTTAGGTTGAAGACCATGATTGAAAAAATGTTTTAGTGTGAATTGCCTTGACCATATGCTATCCATTAATCAGCAAAAAAAAAAAAACTTATGTCGTCTTTTTAGAAATTAAGGCACACTTATGTGTAAACGTGGCATTTGATGATGTTGTTTAAGCTTGCTCTTCATTGTTCGAAGCCAATACGCTGAGAGGGAGAGGGAGACAATCTTGGTCTGTTATTCACTGTATGAAGCTACCAAGCTATTCTTCATTGTTTGAAGCTTCCACTGCCAAGAGGGAGACGCATGTGGCCTATTCTTCACTGTTCCAAGCTGCCACTACCAAGAGGGAGAGAGAGACTTGCGATTGGCTTGCTCTTCATGGTTTGAATCCGCTGTCGTTGCCTCCAAGAGGGAGAGGAAGGTCATGATCGGCCACTCTTTATGGTTCGATGTCATTGCTAACAAGGAGGCTGAGTACCGTGCTGATGAGGAGAAGCTTTTTTTTTTTTTCGGTTGAAGTTGATTACTGCTAGTGAACTTATTAGAAATTAAATAATTGATAAAAATACTAAATATAAATATTTATTTTTAGTTTTAAATCCTAAAATAAATAACATGTGGCTATTGAGGATTTGTGCCATGCGTTGTTGCTCTTGTATTGCGCAAATAGCATGCCCCATTTTCAACTTGTGCATTGCGCCAAGCAAATGACGCTAGGGGTGCGTTGCATGTAGCTATGGATCATGACACACTATTTTATGTCAATGTATGCTACCTACCTCTACAGCTTTACATGTATAGCATCAATGACCTTCATTTCCATCCATAAAGCACCGTCAACTACATTATTGATTTAAATAAGAACTAAATAGTTGATGAGCTCTGTAACTCATTTTTACCAACTACCCTTCGAAAAGGTATAAGGCAACATACTATCAATTGCCTGTCAATGAGTGTCATGATTAAGTCTTCTCTTAATAGCTCAAATGACTGCTACAAAACTAGATTGGGTGCTAAATGTTTCACCCAAGTTTATGAGATTAACTATTTTGATACCTCCTTAGTGCTTGGCTTAAGACTGTCGGGATTCTTTTGTCTATAACTTTCAGTCAATGATAGATTATGCTGCAAGTAGATGTGAGTAATTCCTTTCATTATGATGATTTGCTAGTGGCAGTTTTTATGGAGTAATCTTAAGTGTATATTGCTCAAGGGAAGAACCGCACATGTTTACTCAAGAAAGTTATCGAAAGAGTTGAAATGAGTCAACGAGCTCGCTTTGAAAAACTCGGTAAAGTCCTGACTGAGATTGATTTTTGTATTAGAACTGCTAATCTTTCTATCTTCGTTAAACATACATCTCCAGACTTGATTGTAGTAGCTGCTAATATTGATGACATATTACTAAAATCAATCCTGACAACTTGTTTGAGATAAAATACTATCTGCAAATGTAATTTATCACCAAACATTTAGGATGACCTCCTGAGTACTTATTTTTTGGAATAGAATATTTTTATAATAAAATTGGGGAATTATTATCTCAAAAAAAAAAAAAAAAGGCATTTATCTTTTTGAAGAAATGGGTATTCTTGGTTGTAATCTTGTAACACTCATGTGGAGACCCATACTAATTTTGATAATGAATTATTACTTGATGTTCTATTTCAGTAGCAAATGCTAGTTGGTAATCTAATTTATCTAGCGGTCATCATGCCTGCAATTTCATTTGCTACAGGAGTGGTTGGTCAGCAGATGCAAAACTCAAAGTGGAAGTATTGAGAGGCTATTCTATGAGTCCTCAACTTTGTTTCTTAAAGATTTCAAGCATTTTTTTTTTTATAGTTAATGAGAGCTCCTGTACAATCATTTAAAATTTACCTAGTTTTCCTCCGAATCATGAAATTTGGATATTTGAATGTTCCAAAGGTTTGGTCCTCTAGGTGGTTGACGACAATAAACAAGCTATAACATAAGAGAATTCTTTCTATGAACGTTTAAGCGGTTTCTGCTAGACATTTCTTTTTGCTCCTTAGTTTGTAGTACAATAGTGTGTTAATGCACGTTTCTTATTTGATATACAGTTTATTTGCAGCTCAAGCTGGGGCTTCAACGGTGGTTGCAGTTGAGGCAAGCTTGAAGATGGCTGCCATAGCTACTCAGGTTCTTTATTCTTCATATTGTTTTAATTTTCTTATAGTTCTTGGATAGAAGTTTTTATTGCTTGAAACATACAGATTGCCAAAGACAATGGATATTTGTATGAGGAAAACAATAAAGGCGAGAAAGATGAAGACAACCATTGTTCTGGTGTGATCCATGTTGTTCAAACTATGGTCGAAGAACTTGACAAATTCAAGAAGATAACCCCACATAGTGTTGATGTGTTAGTGAGTGAGTGGATGGGATATTGCCTTCTGTATGAGTCAATGCTCAGTTCTGTTCTTTATGCTCGTGATTACTGGCTAAAGCCTGGTGGTGCTATCCTACCGGACACTGCTACTATTGTAAGGACATACAAACTTTTTTGACGTTTAGGTTTTTTCCTTACTACTTTCACACTAACATTTCAATGCTTTTTCTTATTAGCTTGTTGCTGGATTCGGAAGAGGTGGAACCAGCTTACCGTTTTGGGAAAATGTGTATGGTTTCAATATGACTTGCATTGGCAAGGAAGTTATGGAGGATGCTTCCTGCTCCCCCATCATTGACGTCATGAATAGTAAAGACATTGTGACAGAATCTGCTGTTCTTCAGGTTGGTTAACTGGCAACACTTACCTTCTCTTCGATGATGCACTTGATGCTTTTATTAAATCCCTTATGTGAAATAATGAAGAAATTGTGTTTCCCATTCTCCACCTTGTGCGTGAGAGATGACAAAAGGGGAGGCAAGGTTCTAGGCTGCGGTGCTGAATGAGCTCACCAAAGAGCAAACAAGTATGGTGGCAAGTGAGCTCACGAGGCAAGGTGAGAATCAAATTTTAGGACTGTAGCATTTAGCCTAAGGAATTTGAAATCAACTAGCTTAACTTGAAAATTTTGTCTCGATGGATTGAGTATTTGATATTATTCTTGGAAAAGTTGTGCTTCCAAGGTTGTGGGGGCGAGTGAGCTCAACAAAGAGCAAACTAGTATGGTGGCAAGTGAGCTCTGCAGGCAACGTGAGAACCGAATTTTAAGACTAGCACTTAGCCTAAGGAATTTCAAATCAACTAGCTTATCTTGAAAATGTTTTCTTCAATAAATTGAGTATTTGATATTAGTCTTGGAAAACTTGTGTTTCCTTAAAGATAAATCAAAAATCATCATAAATAATTCTATCCCATGGAACAACAAATCATAGATACTTAGGGCGTATGGGTTTTCGAGGTACCTGTTTGAAATGCATAGTTTTTTCCCGTATGCATGACGACACATACATGGGTACTTAGGACTGTTCCCGTCACGCTAAGAAAAACTTATATAGGTGGTTCCCCGACGTGCTGCAAGGGCCGAAAACAGGATTTTGAAAGTTTGGAGTTTGAGGGATCATTATACCTTGTGCAAGTGAGGGCAGTGTTGAGGGCAATGGCGACGGCAAAAATGAACAAAAATCATCTTTTTCCTTTTCTCTTTTTGTTTTCTTTTTCTTCTCTTTTTATTTTTCTTCTCTTTTTTTACTTCTTTCTTCTTTTTTAATAATAATGACAATAATACTAATTATTAGTATTATTAACAATATTAATTATAATATTAATAATATTAATAGAGAGAGAGAAAGAGATATATGTAGAGAGAAACTTCTCGCTATTTGAGTGGGTTGCATTTGCGGCTAGGTGAAGACATGCAAACAGGGTCGGCTTGTTGGGTCGTTCAGGTGTGAGCTCGGATAGGGGAATGGGGCAGAGTGGAATTTAGGGTGACTGCTTTGGAGTCGATCGACAGAGAGGGAAGAAGGTGGGATTAGTTGGGCTCAACTGGATCAGAAAGATCAGTCGATTGGGAGCGGCTGTGTGTGGCACGGGCGACTTAGAAGGGTTCGACTGTTGGTGGAAGCGGATCGGAAGGCTTGTGCGACAAGGAAGATCGGCTGTAGGAGATGGATTCGACTATGTGGATCGGTTGGCTTGTTTGATTGACCGGCATGTTGGAGTCGAACAGAGGAGGATATGGGTTCCATCGGGCTTTGGTTTTGAAGAGGGACTGGATCGGGAGGTGTCAAGGCCAGTCGGCCTTGGCTGGGATCGGACGTGGAGAAGATCATAGCAGGGGTCTTCGGCTTAGGGAGTAGAGTCGAGCGTGGAGTTCGATCGGGTGAAGGAACCTGAGCTGCGAGGAAGGATTGGATCGATCGACAAAATGAAAGGGTCTTCGATCAGGATAGGGATCGAGTTGTGAGGTGGAGTTCGAATGAAGTAGGTGAGGTCGACTTTGGCACAAGAGCTAGAATGTGGCTTCGGGATCAATAAGGTAGAGGTGGTATCTTACGGTTGTGGTTGGATGGATCGGAGGTTTGTTGAGTTGCAGGAGTTCGCTTGAGAGGGAGAGATGGATAGAAGGGGAGATCGACTGTAGTTTCTGAGCGGGAGAACAATTCGTGTGTCGAAGAAGAACGAATGATGCTGATCATTCTCATTTTAATGACAAGGCCAGAGCGGAGATCGTGCATCTCGAGCAAAGATCGTGGGGATCACGTTGTCAACATGCGGAGTTCGTGCGGAGCATGACGTCTGACAATCGAGAGGTAAGGCGTTGAATTAAATTTTTTTCATTTTATTATTATTATTATTATTATTATTTTCTATGGAGTTCAACAACCCCACCAGGCTAAACTCAAATGACAAGTGGATGAACTGCTTATGAAAGATGTAATTCCTACTCCCATTATGGAATATGCCCCATGTCAACAACCCCACCAGGCTAAACTCAAATGACAAGTGGATGAACTGCTTATGAAAGGTGTCATTAAAAAAAACGTTTAATAAGACTTTTACTCGTGTCGATGTAGTTTCAAGAATATAAATAATGTAATTGAGGACTCAGGCTCCACACTATGAAAAGATTCTAATTGTGCCATAGGTCTTCATGTGATTCAACTTCAAAAGGATACTCATGTGCTACAATTTCTTTAATAGGATCAGGTTTAACCATACATGATTTTTTGTCTGTGTATGGTTGATAAGTCTGGGATAAGAAAGCAAATATTTTTCTTTATGGGTTATTCGCGGTGTGATGTGGAGCTGCAAATGAATCGAGCGTTCGACAAGCTACTCATGGCTCGGCTCTATGCTCTATTACAATTCGTTCATGATCGTTTGTTTAAATAATCAAAGAAGTTTGAATTATTTTTTAAATACTCGACTGTTAAAGAAATAAACTTGAACAATTATGTGTTCGACAAGTTTATGTTCATGAACAATATTAGTTAAAGGTCTTAAACAAGCTCGATAAAAAGCTCATTAAGAAGCTTGATTAATTCTTTATTTTGTATATTTTCACTGTTTCACATAATTTTTAGTTTTATTATAATAAATTATTCTTATTATATAAAAAATTAATTACATTCTTTATGTTATATTATTTCAATATAATGAATTTGTTCATAAACAAGAGGTATTTCTTCATGTTTACAATATTTTTTATTTAAAGTGTTCATGAACAAGTTTGTTTATATGAAGAATCATTTTATGAGCTTGTTTGTTCGTGAATGGACTTGTTTAGTAGATTGAAAACACTCCCTTTATATGTTTGCGAATAGGCTCTAGGCGATTGTTTGTTAGTAGGCTTGATAAGGCTCGTTTGTTTAAAGCTCGATAAGCATAAACAAACCGAACATGAACCAAACACAATCCAAACATGAATATCTATATTTAAAATGAACAAAGATTGAACATGAACAAAAAATCTCGAATGAAACTCGAAAAATTTAATAATAAACAAGCTCAAACATGAATAAGCACCTACTTGACTCGACTCAATTTGTTTGTAGCCCTAGTGTAATGTTATTATAATAAATTTAATATTTCAAGATTTGGTTAAAGCTTTCCTTATAGTTCTTGGTAACTTGTAGGCACATAGACAACCCTAATCTCTTAAGACTTTTAATACAACACATAATCATAACAAAGTTGTCTCCAGGCAATCTATATTCAATTAAAAGATCTGTGAACCTATCATATCATACATACACACTAGAAATATTTTGTTTACAACCTTAAAGAGTGCAATTGAAGGGCTGATCAGTCACACAAAGTGATCACTCAATTAGTTATTGTACTTTTCATATGACATATTGTTCTTTACGTTTATTTTAGGTCAATAATTTTGGTTTTGTTTTGTAGGCAAAACTATGCCAATAAGTTTAAGCATGTCAAGCTAATTTTATTTTTTGAAAATAAAAATTGATATTTTTAAAGAGATATTCCAAATTATCAATCCATTCTAAAAATATCTCTATTGATTATGCCTCCTATCGAATGTTGGTATGTAATTTTTGGTCCTTTATTGAATGTTGGTATGTAATTTTGATCCTTCTAATTATATTTTTTTATTCATTAAGAATCATGACATACCAAATTTTGCTTAAAGCACATGTTTTTGTTTTTTTATTGGCCCATGTATTACTTTGTTTCATGATGATGGAATATAAAGCTTTGATATCAATTTGATGTAAGATGATAAGGGTTTTAGGCTACTAATACAACCAATAATGAGATGCATATTGAAAGCACAATGAGATCACAATTCATAAGTTATCAACTATTATTTTAGCAAAAATAACATGTTTTTTATTAAAAATGATAAACACATTTTTCATTCGATATAATAGTTCAATGGATTCCAAATCTTTAAAGAATAAATATAAAATATTTTGCAGCAATCAAGTTGACACTTGGGAAAGTAGATACAGTTTGTTATCACACTGCACAAAATTCCAATCATGCACAGACAAGTGAAATTAGAATGTGCTCAATAAAAATCATTCAAAGAATAGGACCGTATAGTCGTTAATACTTGTGAAGTGCTTGAAGAATACAAATGCAATTAACACACAAAATTTGATAAACATGGAATTCTTATTGTAATACACAATATTCAATTTTCTTTTCATGCAACATGAGTCCTATTTATAGCTTAGAAAATGATCCAAAATAAAAATTTTCGCAGAATACTCTTACATTTAGTCAAAAACAGCAAGTTCTAATTCTCCCAGCATATAAACAGTAGAAATAACCATCGGGCTTCGAAATTTTCATGTGACCATTCCCACCGAAAAGATGGTTGCAGGATTGTGGCAGCTTTACTGGATATGTAGCAAATCCTGTACTTTCGACATATCTTGAATTCGGCATCAATTTTTCTCAGATCCTTGGTGCAATTTAACTTTCGACATATCTTTTCTAGTGCTATAGTGTAGAACAGGGTCTCTTTGTTGCTTGTTATTATTAAACACTATATGTTCTATTTTTCTTCCGTTTCAGACTTTTGATCTGACAACCATGAAACCTGATGAGGTGGATTTCACTGCAAGATGTGAGCTGGTACTGAAACCCAGCCCCGAAGAAGCTTCAGCTACTGAAGAACCCATTATATGCTGGTGCTATGGTATAGTTCTGTGGTTTGAGACTGGTTTCACTAGCAGATTCTGCAAGGAAATGCCGACGGTTCTCTCCACATCTCCGTATTTGCCGAAGACTCATTGGTCTCAGACCATTTTTACATTTCAAGAGCCAGTTGCCATGGCATCTGCCAAATCCAAATCGGAATATGATGGACTTGTTGGCACGGAACGGTGCCCTGCAGTGAGAATTAGCTCTCGCATCAGCATTGCTCGATCTTCGGTGCACCGAAGCTTAGATATATCCATGGAGACTACTGGAATCAGCCTGGATGGGAGGAAGCGTAGTTGGCCTGTTCAGATCTTTGATCTTTGATATCTCATCTCAGGATTTTTAGAAATTTTTTATCATTATTATTTCCATCGAACTGGTGAGATGGACGTCTGCTCCGGCTTGTATTGCTAGCTTGGCTGCTTTCATTTTTCTGTCTTGTTTGTAAGGTTTGGTTTGGGTTGGCTTTCTTACTGCTTCTTCTTAAAGTAATTTTTTATTATAAAAGTTATTTTTTTTATTAAAAAATTATTTTAAGAAGCAGTAAAATAGCCGTTTCAAATGAATTATAACTCTGTCAAGTTTGACTGTATGTATTTCAAGGAAAAAAAGACTTATTTAAGTGTAACATTATTTTGCCATCCTATAGATTGTGTTTGGCTGGTGGTGAAAGAAAGGAAACGAAATTCAGTGTAAATTATTGCTCCACTTGCAAACTTTATTTTTCATTTATTTTGTTTTTATGTCTTTCATTCATTAAACAGAGCCATAAACTTCAGGCTAAAATTCTGTTCTTGTTGCTATGCTATTTTTTTGGTTTAAGCCAACTGAAGGAAGAAAGGAAGAAAAATTATTCTGTGCGGGACACTGAACTTCATCTGAAGATTAACCTGAATATGTCACGTCACCCTTTAGTTGGTACCACGGTTCGGTACTGCTTGATACCGCTGATATGGCTGCACCTGATTCATCTTCAAAAGTAAAATTGCATCCAGCCTCCACATTGAATAATTTCTCCGGAAGGAAAATGATGCTTCTTAATCTTGGAAGTAAGAAAATTGTGCTATTTGATCTGTCTGAAATCAAGACTATCCACAACAATCTTTATTTCTATTAAAATTAGTAACATTTATAATTAAAATCTTTATTTTTTAATCAATTTATCATTGATTTTAATTTGTATGAGAATTAATTCAATTTTTATGTGGGAAGGGTTTTTTCTTTTTCTTTTTGAATGTTACAGATATACGATGAGTTTCAATCTTTCTAAAAGGAGAATTGCTTATTTTCGTTTCTTTTACAGACCAATGTTACAGAATATAAGATCAAGAAGGTTTACTTGCATGCTAATAAATTCTTTCTAATTGTATATGCTAAATATCCATATGATATTATTTATTTCTATTCATCTAAGAATATAACTCTTCTACTGGCGTCAAAATGAGTAACCTGGCAAGGTTTAGCTCAATGGATGATGAACCTAAATTTGATCATGGAGGAGCCATCATGTCGGAGGCCAAAGCATTGGAGGATGATTTTTAGATTTTTTTTTGGGATGGCTTTCTTACTTCTTCTTAAAGCAGTTTTTTTAATTTTGTACAAAAAAGCTGCTTTAAAATAAAAAGTAGTAAGAAAGCCGTCCCAAATGAAGCCTTAGTCTGAAAAGAGTCAAGCTAGTATTTGATATGCACGGAAGGTGTTCGAGCAAAGTTTCAAGAGAAATGCATGCCTTTTGTTCTTTAATATCAGAGCTCCTGTTTTATTTAAAATAGGGGCTTCTTCTCATTTTATTTTCATGTTCAACTGAATAAACATTTCATTTCCAAATAATTAAAAAATGACAACTTTAGTTACAATTATGTCATAAGATGCTTCATTAATCATTTTCAAGAGAAAGGTTAGTCTGCTTCAACTGGAACTCTTAAAGCTATCTAAAAGCTTCCATTATAGTATCTTGCACCAATTCTTTTTTCCTGAATGTTGAGTTTGTGTTAACAGTTTAATCAGGCCTTTGCTTGTTTCCAGGAACTTATAATGGAGGATAACTACTCATAGCTCCGAGTAAGAGCTATAAGATTCCAAGATCTTGCAGGTTCGTCTTAAATTGTTCTCCTACAGGTGAGCCTGATTTAAAGAATATAGCTGGGTATCCAATAGGTGCTTCCACCCATGCTTCAAGTCCTTGATGAATATTTTCTGAATCAATGGAAGACCTTCCAAATATGTTTCCTGTCCATATATGTTGCCAAGAACATCCCTGTTCTAGTGGAAAATAAGCTTTCACTTGCTTCTTTCCTTTATCTAAAACAGGAACTACAAGTATCTCCGTTCCTACCAGAAATTGTTGGTAAGTTAGGCTGTGGATATGCTCATCATGAGGATAATGGAGGAACAGATGCCTGGCAATAGGTAAACCATTCTGTGAAGCTTCCTGTAGATCAATAGATTTGTTAATATTTGAGGAGCTAAACCTCAGTTGTTTTTATCAAGTTTTGTATAGAGAGATTACCTTAACTAGTTGGACCCTGTAAAACTTCCAGGCCTTGTATACCTTTGCAAATCGTGAAAAATGACTGAATGTTTTGCTGTTAGAGTAGAATTGGCAGTTTGATTCTGGCTTGTTTCCCTGCAATATCCTTTCAAGTTTATATTATGGTGCTAATGTTTATGAATTTTTTTTGGAATAGTTGTAATGAAGGGGCTGTTTGGTATGCGGATTTAGGCTGGATTTGATGCAAAATCCAGACAAACAGCCTAAAATGCAAAACCAAATCTCACGGAAAACAAAATTCCGCCTTTTCGTCATAAATCCCGGATTTCGAAAATCCTCTCGTTCGGCGGATTTCTGAAATCCTCTGGCTCCATGGAGCGGGAAGGAAACTCCGTCCAAATCTTTAAACCTCTTTAAATTCTGAATGAAATAGCCAAATAGTCACATAGGATTTATCATGAACGTTACCAAACAGTTTTCAGGATTTAAACGCCTCAGGATTTCATAAATCCAGATTTGAAGGATTTACGAAATCCTACTTAAATGAAATCCTAGATTCTACCAAACAGCCCCGAAGAGTTGACTAAATGCAGAAGTTAAAATTCCATGATGCTTCTGTTTCTTACTTCATGTGTTCTGTAAACTGTATTGAATGCATTCAACTCCATCCAGCGCATTAAAAGCTCTTCGCTTCTTTGGTAATTGATCATAGGAAAGTTTACTGAACAGTATCCTCCAATGTCGCTATGATTGAAAGCAAAACCTGAGAGTCCACTGCTAAGCAAACCTGTGACACTGCTTTTTATTCCATCATTGTGTTGCCAGCTTACCATTTGATCACCTTCCCAGAAGAGCATTGCCCACTTTGGGCTCTCTCTGAAGCCAGCCCTCATGAAGAAGACCAGGCTTTCTTCGGCATCCTCCCTCTCCTTTCCTCCACAGTTAGATTTCCACTCATCCACAAACTCTCTATTCACTCTTGCCCATAATTCTGGATATCTGTTATGAGCAGTGATGGGATCTTCACCTGTTCATTGTTGGCATACTTATTAATTCTTTTTTTTTAAGATAGTATTACACAAGAAAAGGAAGATTTATGAATGTTATGATAGAAACCTGAGAAGAGGTTGGCATCTAAAGGCAGGCCTTCACCAAAATCTGCCATCCAGCCTCTAATACCACAATCCACCATCTCATGAAGTATCCTCTTGAACCAACCACTGGCATTTGGATGTGTGAGGTCTAGCATTCCTACATCAAATGCAGTGTTGGGTACCATGTAGGTTGTACCATTTTTGGCTTTCACCAAGATATCCAACTTTTCTGCTTCTTCAAAGAGATTTTTGTTCTTGTTTGGCTTTTCATTTGTCTGCAAATAAGCTGGTCCCTTAGAAATTTAATGCTGTAGTGCTGTATATTTCGTATATAATGCATATATAGATAGTTACTTCTCTGATTTTCCTTTGAATTCATGGGAGCAATTCGTAGCATTTGGACTGATAATTTTATCTAAAATTTTTCAAGTTTTTGGAGGAGAATTACTACCGGAACAAGGCAAGGATTGCAGTAAGCCATAACTCTGATGTTGTTTGCTCCAAAATCATGAACTAATTCTCTCCATCCAGCATAGTGCGTGGTGTCAACTTCCCAATTCCACCACAACTGAGACCCAATTATTGTTTTCCTCTTGCCAACCCAGTCCTGCAAGACTGCCATATTTAGTAGGAAGCCATTACTGAAATTTTGTGTTCACATATATTTTTAGCTGTCATGATTATGCAGGCTAGCTTGTTACCTGTAACCAGAAGGCTGATACAGGAACATCATGAGCTTTTAGTTGATCCCAAACCCTGCGAACAGCTTCAGTACCCCCTTGCATGCCAATAATGGCACCATTAATGATCCAATTTGGTAACACTGGAGGTCTTCCAATGGTTTCTGTGTAGCGTTCAATGAACTCCACAGGTGAGCTTCCTTTGAGTATTCTTCCTCCTACAAAATTTCCATGTACCTAGGCAGAAATTTTACCAAATGAAGTCAGGTGCTATTTAGCTTCATGAGATTTAGCCTGCTTGTAAACTTTAAAGTTTTGAAGTAAGAATCATTAATGATTATGCACATTCTTTCAATTCATTGATCAATATGCAATATCTGGATCTTCAAAACTAGTTATTACCTGTATCTGAACTCTGTCGTGTTCTGTTAGATCAAAGACTGAGAAGTTATATCCTTCAAGGTAAAGGCATCTCATTTTTGATGTCATGTAGAATGGTGAAGGAGCATATGTTGTGCTCCAATCACCCCCTGATCTGTCAAAGAGACAAGAAACATATACTTTATAAAATGCATTTGAAATTTTTTCAACTAAGACTTCGTTTGGGATGGCTTTCTAACTGTTTCGTAAAGTGACTTTTTAGTAAAAAATTTTAATTTTTCTATTAGAAAGCCGATTTAAGAAGTAGGAAGAAATCCGTCCCAAACAAAGCCTTTAAATCTTAAAAGACTAAGAGGTTTGTGTTTGTGACAATACCTATAACTGACCAAATTAGCTGCAAATGTAATGGGTTGATCTCCTCTTCCAATGCCTTGCTCCTGCACCAGTATAGGAACTCTTTTTCCTTTGAACTCCATATGGGAGAATTGTTCTCCAAATCCATAGAACTTCTCATCTCTCTCACTCGAATATGTTATAAAAACTCGGTTGAATTCCTTAACTTCATCAACCTTCTCTTCTTCCTTCTCATCATCATCAGAAGATAGAACAAGGAAGTCTCTTGGGCTTAAGAAGCATGAAACTCTTCGCCGTCGTCGAAGACGAACCTGCTTCCACCTCTGGCCCTGGAAACCTTCTGAAAACCTCTGGTAGGGTCTTGAGCCATGCAGCTGCTTCAGCTCACCAAACCTCACCTGGAATTCAACCTGATGGTTGTTCCTCTGATGAAAAAGAACCCAATACCTCGCAGTAAGAGATGATTTATCAGCCCTTCCAAGGCTAAGTTTTCTTTCCCAAAAACATAAATTCTTGGAAGCAAATCTTTTAACTTTCTTGCTAGAGACCCAACCGCAGATCACCAAAGTAGGAAATTGGCTCCTCTTAAAAAGCTCAATAGGAACATTCTTATCATTTGATTGGAATAATCCATATAGAAACTCAGAGTCATTTACCTTCCTCTCAATGTCAGACTTGCAAATTGTTCTGATTTCATCAATGTTTTGATGATCACAGAGGAATGAGATATCACCATCCTTGATCACAAACGAGCCTCTGCTCTCCTCCACCTCAGTTTTCGCAGATGCAGCAGAGATGAATGCCTCCCCAGGTATGCTAGACCATAAGCTTCGATCTGGTTCAGATTTGTGAGATACTGATACATATCCACAATTACTGGATCTCCAAAGAAGCTGGAAATCCTTCCCAATTGGATAAACTTGGCGATGAGGAAGAATTCTGTTATAAGAGAGGGTTCCATGGATCAAAGGGAGGGACTTTGGTGGGGAAGGGAAGGGGTTGTTGATATGCTTGTGGTGTTTCTTGGAAATCTTTAATGGAGGCATGCTTGTGTTCTTGCATGGAGGTCCTCAAAAAAGATTTCGGAGATCCCAAAATGTCTTTTTTAACTGGATTTGATTACGGAATTATGCCATTATTAGCTCTAACAAAATCAGAGAGGGAAATTATTTGATGAGAAATTTAAAAATTTAATGTAGGCGTGCAAGAAAAGAACTTTCTTTATATTTATTTAATTTTGGAAATTAAGATATATTTTGGTTTTTTTTTTTTTGCTGGAATGGATGAATCTAGCCCAATTAATGGGCTCCATACATGGAGCAGCGACTGTTGAAATAATTAACAAAGAAAAGAAAATTAAAACGTAAGGGTCGCGTGTGAAATATTTATTTTGAACTGCTTGACGATGTATGTAGACGAAGAATTGGACGCCATACATCCAAATGGCAAAAGCAGCCTCATTATCAAATGTTGGAAGAGAATCACATTTGATGAAAAATTGGAGATATATAAGAGAATCACTTGCACGTTAGTTAGGGGTGTAAATTTTTTACACGACCTGAACCCGACCCGGAAAAATCCGGGTTCGGGTCAACCCGAACCCGAAACGGGTCGGATTCGGGTTGAACAAATCAACCCGTTTTAAAAATTGGGTCGGGTTCGGGTTGACCCACCAACCCGAAATTGACATAAAAATGACCCGAAAGTGACACGAAAACTCATATTTGACCCGAAAACCCGAGGTTGACCCGTTTTTGACCCGATTTTGACTCGATTTTGACCCGAAAATCGAATATTGACCCGATTTTGACCCGAAAATTAGCAATTTTAGGTCTACTTCGGGTCATTCGTGTCGGGTCGGGTTGACCCGGACCCGAATCGGGTCGGATTCGGGTCAGGAAACCTGACCCGTTTTTAAAAACGTGTCGGGTTCGGGTTGACCCGAACAGTGCCGGGTCAGTTCCGGATTCGACCCGAACCCGACCCGCTGACCCGAATTGACACCCCTAACCTTAGTGTAAGCAATCTACTTTTAATCAAACTCTATCCTAAAGCTATTATGAAGGGAATAAGGTTTCATTTGGGGTAGTTTCCTAACTGTTTTCTAAAATAATTTTTTGATACAAAATTTTTTTGAAAGCTATAAAAAACAGTGGTAAAAAACTATCTCAAATGAAAATCATTGGATAAATTCTCTTTATATATATATAGCTTTCAAAAAACTATCTCTCTTTAATTTTTTAGTAATGCATCATATTTTTATAAGAAAATTTTATTTTTATTAATCCATTTAATAAAATAGACCTCTAATATTTTTTTTGTAAGCATAGCCAAGTTTCAATATTTTTTTTTTTGTCGGATGTATAATAAGACGTGTACGTTATCCAATCAGCTCCAAGATAGACATTAAAATTCGCACGAAACCCCCAAACAATTATTAATTAGCAATCAAGTCCATCTATATATATTTTTTCTTTTTCATTAGTTTGGTCGATTCAAACGAAATATTATTATTTTGCTCAAATAATTATTATTTATTAAAATTGCGAAATTCGAAATCAATAATAATGCTTAGCTAATTTAATAAAATAATTAGTTTAACGAATTTCATCATTTTTTTAAAATATAAATGGAAAATAAACCTCTTGGTCAACCCATTAATGCCTTAATAGGTGAGCTCTGGTGGGTCTCATCGTCGTTGGTCCCACTGGATCCATCAATGGCCTCTCTTGGGAGTGAAATTATTACCAATTCATCGGATGCTGTCCAGAGACTAATAAGAATGTGCCACATCATTTTTTTTTTGTTGAGTATCAGATGATATGACGCATCCTAGTTCGCCTCCATATAATTTGATGATCACATGCAATAATTTCTTCTCTTGGGAGCTCCGACAAGATTCCATCTTGATTATTATTGTTAAATCTATCATATTGAATGGAAAAAAATATTATTATTGATATGTCATCAAAAAACTATCTTGATTAGGCACAAATCTCGAGGCAATCAGGTTGGAAGCTTCAAAAATTAAATATGTGATCATCTGAACTATGATCTCAGCAAACTTACAGTTGAACTGAGCCTCTCAAAAATGCAAACCCAACGTCACCAAATTCAACTCAATCCAAGCACAAATGGGTCCGAATCGAAGGCCTGAAGTGCTGTTGGAATGTTCAAACCATGATTTGAATTACAAAACGGTTTCCAAACATGACATGCTTATAATCGAGTCGAGCAGCTCGATGAGACAAATCCAACGAGCCCAAGATCGCCGAATTCTGATATCATTAAGACCTTTAAATGTCTGATGAACGATTCATGATCAAGGGATTCAATATTGGCCGTCCATCCAAACTACTCCCCATTTGCCCTTGATCCTCATCCTATTTACAGGTCATGCCACTCTAAAAAAACTATAAATAGCCCCTCATTTCTCTTAAGAGGGACCAAAGAGAAGAAGAAGACCCAAGTAAGAAGAAGGAGAAGAGAAGAAGGAAAAGAGGGAAGAAACTCCTCCTCGACCATCACAGGAGTTCCGTTCGACTTTCAAGTGACGCCAGAGTTCCGCTCGACTTTCAAGTGATGTCGGAGTTTCGCCCGAATTTCAAGTGACGCCGGAGTTCGGCTCGACTTTCAAGTGACGCCGGAGTTTCGCCCGACTTTCAAGTGATGCCAGAGTTCCGCCCGACGTTCAAGTGACACCGAAACTCCGCTCGATCTCCAAGTAACGCCGGAATTATATCCGATCTCTAAGCGACTTTAGGATTCAACCTAAATACCCAACATTGTCGAATCTCAAATTCTTGTTTTTAATTGAATTTTAATTCGTGAGTGGATTATTGTAATCTGATCGTCCTAAATTTTAAGGACGAGTCAATTTTTTGTACCTCAAGCAAATACTAGTGGAATTCTTTCAACTAGGCGTGGCCCCGTGATTTTTACCTTTCTAGGATTTTCCACATAAAAATTATGTTGTTCTTTCATCTTCTGTTTGTATGCTGGATATCCGTACAATGCTGAGACAAAAAAATATTCTAACTCTATTGCCGCATATATTTAAGCCCGCAACAATTATTATTATTTTCTCTATGTAGTGAAAATCCTTCCAGTGGCATACCATCTCAATCACCATATCCTGCTAGTTTTACATAAGAAATACTCTCAAGACATATATCCATGATTGGAAGGCTATGATGAAGGGCTAAAAAAGGAGAAATTATTACGTGCAGAGTTTGGATGTAATTCTACGTCCATACAGAGGCAGAGTAGTCGTCCTAATATAGCAACAACAATAGAAGGATAAATTAAAAAAAATAAAATTAAAAAATAGAAGGATACGTGTAGTCATATGAAACCTTCATGCACATGAAGTTGGCTAATTTTTTAAAAGGAACATTTTAATTATCATAATTAACAAAAACAGAATGTTTATTTTAAAATTTAAAAAGGAACTAATTCGCTAAAATAATTGGCTCATTTAGAATGCGTCAAGCTTTTTGGTGCATCCAGAATGCGTCAATTGTTTTAGCGTATTCAAAAGAAGAGAGAAAAAGATGAAGAGAGATAAGAGTGAGGAAAAGGCGGCAAAAATTCCAGAAAGAGAAAGAAAAAGGTTGAGAGAAAATGAAAGAACAGAGGGAGAGAATGGTTTATTTTTAATTATTAAATATTGATTTATATGTTTAATATTTTTTGGTTAAAATATTTCATGAAAATATTAAACATATAAACTTTTTAAAATATTATATTAACTTTTGTTTTAAATATAAAAAGTATAATTTATAAACTTTTAATAAAAATAGATTAAAAATCTAATGAAATATAATTTAAATAGATTAAAAATATATATAATATAATATTAATAATATTTAAAATAAATACAATTTCCTAATAATATAATATTAATAAATAATGTCCTCTCTTGAAGAATAACGAATGACATCCCTTAAAGCTCTATACAACGCGACCCACCATATTCTTATGCGTGAATAGGCTTTAATGACATCCCTTAAAGCTCTATACAACGCGACCCACCATAATGTCCTCTCTTGAAGAATAACGAAGAGAAATGTTTTCTATAAAACTTCCTTTGGAGCCACACTAAAGTTTCGTTTGGGACGGCTTTCTTACTGCTTCTTAAAACAGTTTTTAGTATAAAAATTTTAATTTTTGTACTAAAAAGCTGCTTTAAGAAGCAGTAAAAAAGCCATCACAAATGAAACCTAACTCTACCAAAAAATTTCTATGGAGTGAAGACTAGAACATGGCTTATGAAGTTTTATATGATTGGTTTTACAAAGAGAGACAAAGTTAGGTGGAAGGAGGAAGAGAGCCATTAGTAAAAACAAAATGTATTAAACACAAAAAAAAAGCTAAAGGACGATTTGTTTGTATACAGTGACAACACAGAGAAAACGATTTTCTAATGTGGGACTAAACTCAATACTTTCAAATGGTCCACAGATATAATATGAAGGACCATTAGTATGTCCACAATGAGAACAAAGAGGAGAACATTTTATGATGTAGGCTAAAGGCATTTATTAATATTTTGGAAGTAAATTCAGTTACTTATTAATTACATTGGAATCAACCACATAACATGAAATTGTAAAACAGTCATAGCCTTTGCAGGCTCCGAAAATTTTGAGCTTTAGGACTTTGACCTCTCTACGTTATATTCGGGGAGAGTTTTAACGGACAAAGTTTTGTTTTGCGATCAGATATTGTTTTGTATAATTTTGTGCACGCCTTGAAATATATGCCAATTTCTTATTTTGCATTACAGACATCGTTCGAGCAAAGTCTCACTTCGTCACATCTTTAGACAGTCGATTTTGACCATCTTCGCTCAAGTCGATGGCGAGAGGCTCCTTCTTAGATAAATTTGATGTTTTGAACATATCGGTGTAATCGTTTGGACCTGTGACGAACAGGATGACTATCCAGTAAAATAAATTGCAATGTTGATCAACAGGCAATAAAAGTCCTGCATGACTGCAGCCATCCTAAACAGATTCGCAGGCTTCATTTGGGACAGCTTTCTTACTGCTTCTTAAAACAACTTTCTAATATAAAAAAATCAATTTTAGTACTAGCTAGAAAGTAATTTTAAGAAGCAATAAGAAACTGTTTAACTACTATC